ACACTCTCTCTCTAACAGTCATGTTGATTCCTTGTAGCCAATACAGCATATTTAGAAAGTTTTTTGGGAAGGTGCATGAAATAAAATTTTTGTTTATGAAAGCAAATTTCATTGCTTTCTTTTCAGTTGCTTCTTCCTCTGTTTTCAGTCAGAAAAAGCAAACTGTTTAGGAAGGGTTGTTAATCTCCGCTTAGAGGGGGGTACAAACCTGCATGCCAAGAGGGGAATGGAGGCTCTTGGAGGAATGATACAAATGCTCCTCCTTTTCTGAGGCTGGCTGGAGATCACTGTACTTTTCACTAAGCTGGAGAGCTTCTATCCTCGCAACGCTTTCAACGGCATGGAAATATTTGACCTAAAACTTAACGCTTCATCATTCCCACCCTCCTTATTCACAGTTAGTACAATTACTGAATCTCTTCTAACTGGCTACACAAAAGAGGGAATCAAGTGGCTATAGGGAGAGTTTTGACATGTCTGAGCTGAGAAGAAATGCAAAGAGAATCCAAGCAGTGTTCTTTTTCTTCCCAGTGGCTGCTGCAACTGAGAATGTGCTAATTCTTTGACTTTCTGTCCCCTGTAACTTTCTGCTTTGCTTTTTCATTGGAGAAGGTACGCTTTACTCTTCTCCCTGGTATGAAGCACCAGCTGCCCTAAAAATGTGTAAAATTCTTAGCACATCTTAAATTGCTCTAAGATTTCCTGCCACTGTGGGACTCTTGCAAAGTATGACTTGAGCATCTTAGGAACAGAGAAGAAAGGAGGCACTGGAGTATGGACTTCATCATCTACCTGTACTCTGAGCTACAGGTAGATGATCTTTGGGGATGCATATACCCACTGCAATTTGGACAAAGGGTGTTCAGTTAATCAAAAACTAAGCTAAATTGGGGAATAACCTTAAAAGTGTACCTCTGTATGCTAATACATTTCATTGAAATATAAAAAATATACATTCATTTACCCATGCCTTTATAATGTAGGCTCAAAGCTTGGAATTCTGAGTCAGTGGCTCTTTCATAAAACTTTCCCATAATCAAATGCATCAAATTTCTAACTTCTGTTTTTTTTTAAACTAGAGCAAGTAAGACATATACAAAGTAATGTACATTAAAAATCCTCTAAAGTTTTATTATTTTCCTCAGTCTTTTAGAGTTATTGCAACAACATATAGCTCAAAAGCGTTTTTTAGTGATTTGCTTTCATTGAGCAAATCTAAATGTTTAAATTAGTTTTTATAAAAAACAAAACAGAACAAAAACTCCTCTTTCCCCACTAATATTTAACTTATTTACATAACATTATAAATCTTATCATTACAATAACAGAACTGGCATAAATGAGTTTGAGACCAAATGCAGTTGGCCTTTGGTAAGTCACTCACTTGGCAGGCAGTAGTGCACAAATGTATTTAATACTTTCAGTGTACTCTGGGCATCAATATATTTTAAGTAAGGAATGGAGAATAATGATTCATATGTTAAGTTGGTTAAAGGAGAAATCAGTTAAGAACACTTCTACTGTAGTTGTAATTCTGTAAAGGTGATATACATTAAATATGAAAAGAAACAAATATTTTCCAAATTCTATCTTCGGTGTTGAGAAAATAAGGATTGTTGTGATTATTTTAGTACTTCCCTCATACTTCTTCTTAATACAGATAAAATAAAACTTTTATTAATGAATACCTCAGTGAACCAGAATATGTTTCTTTCTGCAACATCAAAGTATATTATGTGATTACTGGACACCTCCAAGTCTTCCAAGTATGAATGTGCACAAGATAAACGGGGAGTTTGTTCAGATTCAGATTTATGGACTGGCTCTCAGATAGCTTGATTCAAATTGGAGCCAGGAATATTATTTTTTCAACTAGTGCTCCAGTGATTATGATTCAGTTGGGCACTTTAAGAAACACCCCTGAGACACAACCAAATTACCTACAACAAGAATTATGTATTAAGGTTACTTCACTGAATGCAATTGCAGGGTGCCATAGCCTTTGTTTTCTTCCTTCCTCCCTTTCTTCCATTTTCTTTGAACTTCAATGAAACATATGGAGTGCCCAGTGTATGCCAGCATTCTACTAGTCTTTGAGGATTCACAAATACAACACAGCTTCTGTCCTCAAGGAGTTCATAGTCTGGTCAATAAAACAAACCCATATATCAAGAATTACACTGAACTTCAAGTTTTACCAAGGAACACTTTCTGAGGCAATTGTGAATACCCAAAATCTAGGATGCCAGTAGTTTCCTAGGGTCTTAAATTTTCCTATCACTAACATAGCCAACGTTAAGAATTAGCTTTCTTTTGTGTACTTTCTTTTACTCCACAAAGAAAACTATTTTGAACACAGTAGCAGTGACTGGGATTGCCCTAAAGAGAACAGTGGAACCATATTGAGATTCTGGGGCGGAGCAGCCAGCTAGGTTCACTCGCTAGCTCTTAAGTGTCAGCCTTCTGCCTCAAAATCCTAATCTGTGGAGGCGAAGTATTTAAGTGATTACAGTTCTGGATTTACAGATTTGCTTATTACTTAAAAATGAAAATGTTAAAGCTAGGGAAGTTAAGGGTCTAGTTATCTGTTATTATCTAACCATAATTTGACTTGTGAATAATAATAACAAAAATAATAATATTGTTAAATAACTTGTCTGATACTATGCTATGATATTCATTGAAAAATATTTAAACTATGTTGAAAATATTCCGTTAACTAGTATTTTAGAAACGTTTTCAAAAGCAAGCTGTGATTGAGAAGCATTTACTGGTTAAACCTATTAACCAGATTCATTTAATTCAAAAACATCTCATCTACACAGATTTATATGTCAGAATTTACTGTAATAAGAATTAGACATGAGCCTCGATGGGGGGAAACATAGCAGTAAAATACTGAGTGAGTAATCGAAGAAAGTGTATAAAAATATGAAAGAACCAAAAAAAAAAAAATGAAAGAACCATCTTTACTTTTAAAGAATGTTTTTTATTGTTTAGAACATAGCTTAATATTAAACATGGAAAGAGCTTCTCCCTGGATTAACAACTGCATCTCTGTCTTCTTTCACAGGGTTTTGGAAATCCCTCTGGTGAATATTGGCTGGGGAATGAGTTTATTTTTGCCATAACCAGTCAGAGGCAGTACACACTAAGAATCGAGTTAATGGACTGGGAAGGAAACCGAGCCTATTCACAATACGACAGATTCCACATAGGAAATGAAAAGCAAAATTACAGGTAGGTCCTTCTTGGGTGTGGTGTTCAACTGCCTCAGGCCTAGTCATCTAAGAGTTTTAATGGAAAAGTGTGAAAAAAAGAAATGATGAAAGTTATCCTTCAAAATGAAAATCAGGCTGTCTAGGCCTATGACAAAGGGATGCAAAAAACCCTGTAAAGACTTCTTCAAAGCTTTAGATTTCAGTTTTCACAGACTGGTTATTTTTTTTTAATTGGAGTAAAATTGCTTTACAATGTCTCATTAGTTTCTGCTGTACAGTGAGGTGAATCAGCTCTATGTGTACCTGTATCCCCTCCCTCTTGGACCTCCCTCCCACCCACCCATCTAGGTCGTCACAGAGCACTGAGGTGAGCTCCCTTTGCTAGCTATTTTACACATGGTAGTGTATTTATTCACAGACTGATTATTTTGATGTTGGCTTAAATTCTAGAGGATATGGAATTAATTCAAACATGATATTATTGTTGTTATTTTTATTGTTGCTGTTATTGTTTTGGAGGTGCAGTGAATTTATACATATAAAACTAATGGCAGAGAATTGACTCAAACTCAGGGGCTTGAAATAAATACTTTCTTCTATCAAAAGATTTTTTTACGTATACTTCCCTTATTTACTTTTCTTAAATTATTTTTTACATTATCTTGAAGGTGACAAAAGAGGAGTAAAATTTTATGTTTGAATGATTTACTAAAAAATAAGATGAGGCATAATTTAGAATTTTTTGGTCAGTAATGTGAGAGACAAAAATAAATCCAAGTAATGGCATTAACATACACAACACATCATTGCGGATTAAAAATAGACTATATACTTAATTGTTAACATCTCTGATTTTTTTTTCAATGAGCAGCTTGTACACTAGAAGAAAATGGTTAATCAAGTAATGCAGGGTGGTAAATTCATTTCACAAACACTTATTGTATTACTTCTGTGTTCCCGGAACTCGACTAGGCACTGGCAAACTTGCAGTCAGTGATGAGGTCACTCGTCTCCCAGACCTCACAGTTTAGCTTTGTTACAAACTAGGTCATTAAATAACTGGTTGGCCTTCCTTGAGAACAGGAAGTATATTTCAGTTACTTTTATATCAGTACTCATAAATGCAATACTTGGCACATAGCAGGTCCTTAATAATGGTGTGTGACTCAGTTTTGTAAATTAGATAAACAGTAAATTAGGGTTGCAATGATTTTAAACTCTCGATATCGTGGCTACTCTACATTGGTCTTGTAAAAACGATTGTGTGCATTAAAGGGTTGGCACACTGCTTCAAACAAAATGCAATGACAGCGACCAAGGCCTTATGCTTTTTTTCCAACTTGTGTGGCCATCTCCTCATAGTTCAACTGTTTCTGCTGCTATTTGTCTTTTTGAAACATGCCATCCTTTAGGAGTTAAAATCTACAATTCTTTTATGAACACATCTCATTTTATTTTAATGGATTATGTGTGGGATTGGATCCTTGGAGACATAATAATCATTTTCTTAACAAACAGTGATGATGTCACCACAACAGAAGATGAGAAATAGATCTAAAGAGTTGATAGTCTCATGGTGGGGAGAGAGGGTATGCATATGGCAACTCAAGAAACCAAAGAAGAGACATTTATAAAATTCAGTGGACTGTAAGAAGAAATGTTTCCAAGGAGGTCAATATTTTGAGAGTTTTATAACAAGAAAAACCACTGTAAAACATCAGGGGTACTCTTATGTAAATGTTTTGAGCTGAAACTTGAAACTATATGAAACTTGGCTAATGTCAGACAGCCTGACAATAGGACTAGCAAATAATTAGTCTAGTCTTTTTTCTAGGCTCCTGAAGAATTTGCTTTGGTTCTTTTCCAAAATGTCTCTCAGTTCTTGTGTGTGTGTGTGTGTGTGTGTGCGTGTGCGTGCGTGCGTGCGTGCGTGTGCACTTATGAGGCTGGGGTGGTATTAAGGGCGCAAAGAGTGGGTAGGTTTAGGAGGGTCGGAGGCATCAGAAGTAGGCTTCAGGGTACATGGTATGAATGTCATTCTGGCATCTGCATGAGGAAGGCACACTTATCTCCTCTTAAAATGCCCCCTGCCCTCACTGAGCATTTCCTGGTCCTTGAACATCTTTGTAATTCTGATCTTCACCCAAATAATGCAGATCTGTGATCAAAAAGCTAAAGTGAGGTGTTCACTCTGAGATCTCCATTTTTCTCTCTTGAGAGAATTGTGAACCTTGAGAATCAGAATTATAGATCCAGAAGGAACTTAATCATTTAATTCCAAACCTCTGGATTTAAAGAAAAGAAGGCTGAGGTTCAGAAATATGTAATATTTTTGTCCAAGGAGGGAAAAAGACTTAAATATGGGATGTTTGGCTCCTTCCTAGTTAGGTGTGGTTTCCACTCTGTAATGCTACTGTAATAAAGCTGGTGGCTCTGGCCCTCTTTCCTGCCAAGACCCAGCAGAAAATAGATCTGTAATCATCACCTTCTCATGCAGTTAAATATTAAGATTCACACTGGCATCAAATAAGAAATTAAAACTCATTAAAACATAATGCCTGTTCTGGTGAAAGCTTAATCAAAATAAGCACACTATAAACTGGCATTATTCACTCTTTCAAAGAAAATCAAACAGAAGCTTGAAAAGGGAAGCTACACCCTTGTGACTTCCCTTTCCACCTCTATCTTCACTCACACCCAGCACTGATTCTCCAGGCCCAGTAACACCACAGGTGACCTCAAGTCAGGACTCCAGGTATCTAGCTTTGCTTTTCTGTGCTTGTTCTCATTTCTCTTCCCTCTGCATTAGGATGCCTCGTTGTGATAAATTATTAAAGGAATTAATGCTAACACTTGTGTAGTATTTTATAATCTATGAAATGATTTTTAATATTATAATCATTTAATCCTTACAATGAATTTTGAGCTAGGTATTATTAGACACCTTTTAAAGATGAAGAAACTTTGATGAAGCTTTGGTCAATTGACCTGCTCAAATTCAACTAAATTCCAAATAAAATCAAAACTATGGAATTCGGGCTTCCCTGGTAGCGCAGTGGTTGAGAGTCCGCCTGCCGATGCAGGGGACACGGATTCGTGCCCCGGTCTGGGAAGATCCCACATGCCGCGGAGCGGCTGGGCCCGTGAGCCGTGGCCGCTGAGCCTGCGCGTCCGGAGCCTGTGCTCCGCAGCGGGAGAGGCTACAACAGTGAGAGGCCCGCGTACTGCAAAAAAACTATGAAATTCATGGTGGGTTTTTTTTCTTCTATTTTTACATTTTCTGTATTTTTCCTCTTACAAATTAAATTCAGAAATTTTTGAGTTTTCTTTTTTAAAATATTTTATCTTAATAGAAATTATATTTTGATAACTCTTGTAATAGTTGTGGCCATAATGTATAAACCAAAAAAAAATTTTAAATAGATCTTTCTCATGTTCTAGACACATATTGATTTAGAGTAAATGTTGTGAATAGATGGATGAGCTTACAAATGTACATGTAATACACATATTTTCCTTTTATTCTCGAAGGAATGTCCAAATGATTTTCTCAGATAGAAAATAAAATCTTTAGAACCCAAGAGAATATAAATAAGAAAAAACCAATAATGTGAGAGTGTTATGATAAACACATCATGTGCAATAACACACAATCAACGTGAAATTACTAAATACTTCCTCTAGAGAGGCAGTATTATCCAGATCCTCGTCATCTAACACCCAGACGGTTATAAAGCCTTCCAGCCTCCAGTCTTGATGCTCTCAAATATACCTTCCACACTATTATTGAGATGTTTTTTCTGAAACACAATCTGACTTGAGCTCTGCCATCCTTCACATATTTCAACAGTGTTCAAATATCTACAGGTTAAAGTCTGCCACCTAAAACTCTTCCTGTCCTGGTCCTACCTACTTATTCAGCTATTACTATCATATTGTTCCCCCAGCCTCACCCAATCAGATACCCCCTTATTGTGATTATGATCCAGAAACTACTTGCAATTTCCCTTTACCACCCACGCCTTTGTTTATGCTATATCCTTACCCTATACATATAAATCCAACTTTGGATACATCTTCTAAACCTTTAAGATTTTCCTTTATTTCAGGAAGTCTTCCCTGATACCTACTATGGTATATGCTCCGATGTGCTCATCTATATCCTCCCTTCAGAACTGAAGCACTCCTTCTCCCACTTCCTGGGAACATTGCTGGCTAACAGCTTGTAAGCCAAGGTCCCCTGCCTGGGTATGCCTATGACTGAAGAAAGTCATCTCATTCAAGGTCACTGCTCCTTCCTACAGACAGATTGCATCCAATGACTGGTCAGTATAGGAGTCTATTAAGGACCACTTGCCCTAATTGAGGACAATTCTGAAGGCTATCCAAGGTCCAGAATTTCACTCGAGATTAGCTGAGATGTTCACTGTGGTTGCATGTGAGCCCATGCAGTTTCTCCCTCTGCCATTGGAATCGATCCTAAGATCATTCACCTATAAATATCCCTACACTGATTTCCCAGAGAAATGCATCACCTTCATTCTCAGGTCAATTTGGATGCTTTGTGGGCCCATAGTTGCATAACAGTCTGTGAATAACTATCCGGTATCCACATTCTGTTATGTCATTAACAAGTGTTTATTAAATAACTGTGTGTATGATCTTTCCCACTAATTTCTAAGTTTCTAGAATATGGAAACCATTTTTATCAAAATTCAAGATATATACCTAAGCCAGCCAAATTATTATTATTTTTTTTTTTTTGCGGTACGAGGCCCTCTCACTGCTGCGGCCCCTCCCGCCGCGGAGCACAGGCTCCGGGCGCGCAGGCCCAGCAGCCACGGCTCACGGGCCCAGCCGCCCCGCGGCACGCGGGATCCTCCCGGACCGGGGCACGAACCCACGTCCCCCGCATTGGCAGGCAGACTCCCAACCACTGCGTCACCAGGGAAGCCCTAGCCAAATTATTGCTAATAGTTAATAGTTAATATTTGTTGAATACATGCTATGCACCAGACA